CTTAGTCAGAAACAGTATCTAATGCAGTCCATAATTCTCTAGCAGTTTTGTGTTCTTCAACTTGTCTTACAATGTTATCAGATAAGTGCAATATGATAGAACTATATGCAATTTTATTCATATCTAGAATTTCATCAGGCTTAGCTTTCAATTCATTAGAAAAATTTTCAGGATCATCCAAGGCTTTAGCAACCCTTTGTTGGACCAATATGACCCTTATTTTCTGCTTCCAAATCGAGTAATCCTCATTTCCATCAAATTGAGACAATTCGACCTTTGAACCCATTGCAGGTTCTGTAAAAGGGTGGCTACTACTCGCGAACATATGTGATTTTTAATATATCAGATCACTTAAGTTGCAGAAGAAGTTTTGAAATATGTTTTGTAGATAATTTTAGGTAAGCAGATGGCAGAATGAAAAAAACATAGTTATATAGCATGCACAAATTGAATAATAGCAGGATTAATTTCGGATTTCTAACAGTTGGTGCCAAACAATCAAATTACAAAAAATCTGAAAAAAATCCTAATACATGATTCTATTCCAATCAAACTATTTATTCAATTCTTGAACAAATCCAAGCCACATTAATATTCACAGATTCACATATGATTCAAGAACACATGCAGATCAAATACTGTGAACTAAATTGGAACAATCTCACCAAATACCATGTATAACAGTATTAAATCCACTCCAGCGATTTAATGCAGACTCAGAATCCAAAACGCTAGCTCCAAGAACTTTTGTTCAAATTAATTACTGGACTGCATAGATCAAATCAAACACATCAATACAATAAAAATTAATTGTATTCACAGATCCTTACCCACGCCTTGGAGGCTTTGATACTAGTTTTGTTGGGATTTTTCACCCAAAGTGCTACTTCAATCACCAATTAATCAACCACAACAATAATAAAACCATCTAGAAAATTGAAGAACGCACAAATTTTTCATCCAGTTTGGCCAAGCCTAATCTGGGGGGCTCATAGGCAAAAAACCAAGCTCGTCACTATGCAAAGAACCTCCCAAGAGAGAACACAAGTTCATTTACAAGAATCAGATTACACCAAGAAAATCAGATCATCAGTATGTGAAAAAAACCTCACAATAATAGCCCTAACCGACTCTGGCCTGGACTCAAATGTAGTAACAATTTACATTATAAAATTTGACCAAAAAACCTGCTGCTGAAAACACACAAAATATCGGCAACCAATTGTAAAATAACCAGATCATCAGCCCCAAAATATGGGCCTCACTATAGAAATATGGCTGGAAGAATATACAAGAACTAATCTGAAGAATATCCCTTGGTAATGGCTCAAAAATCGCCAAAATAGAGAGAGAGTGGGAGAGATAAAGAATCTGCTATTTTTTAAAGAAAATGAAAGAAGAAAAAGTGAGAAATCTAGTCTCTCTCTCCTGCCGTCTACTTCAAGAAATGAGAGAAAAGTTGATGCAAATCTCAACCCTTTATTTTTAAATCAATGGTCCACTTAATTCCAAACAAACACAAATCCTTGTGAAGAGTAAGTTGCCAATAGAAAGTTGTCATGTGGCCAAAAAATGGAGAAAATATTTTGTCACTTGTAAAAAAACGTGATTCTTTGGGTTTTGAAAACATTTCACAGAATCCAATGAGTAGAAATGTCAAGTTATTTCAGAAGGAAACCACAAAAGCAAGAGAACAAAGAAGTAAGCCAAGTGAACTCGAGATGTGGCTAATATAACCACCATTATATAAAGTTTTCCAGAAGGTATTATTGTTGCAATACGAGTTCATGATACAGCAAGGCACCTTTGCACAAGAAAGCAAGAATAAGGTTGGAGGTTTTATATAAAAGGATTAAATATCCCATTCTTCTTACCGACAACTAATCTACATATTGATTGGCCACACATGGAAAGACAAATGTCCCATCAGAAGTGAGAATGGGAATCTTCAAGGTCCGTTAGCACTCCAATAGGTTGGAAGTTAGTCAAGCCATCCAGGATGAGACCCCTAGAGAATCTGGTGGAAGAATTTAGCAAGGAGCTAGCCAATCCATCAAATGAAATGACCATGCTTCTCTATGTGCTTCTCTTTAAAGAATGGGACCAAGTAGCTTCAACGAGAGGAGGTGGATGACAATGAAGAATATGTCTCATTTTCCGAGGCAATTAAAGAACCAGAAAGCCCAAAGAAAAATAATATGCCAAAAATGTAGACGTTATGTGGAAAGACTAACACTGTCGACCACGTGTAGGAATACAACTGACATGAACATTGTAGGGACAACTTTGGCACAAAAAAGATAAGGGTTCTATGTTACACTTGGGATGAGCAAGAAAGTGGTAGAACAAGCAAACGTCAGGCAACATTGGCAATTGACCTAACCTTAGGAAACAATTCATCCATATGTTCACTGTTGAACGCTTGGTTCTGCCCCAATATAGATGATCTATAACACATAAAAGGGCACAGGTGAGCTTTTGAAAGCTATATCGTTCATTTTATCAACAAAATGGTAGTGGTTGAAAGTATTTATCTGGATACTAATTTCCAAGATTTGAGGTCTGATTGAAATAGGACTACTCCCTTTGGAGAGATGTTTGCAGTCGAAAACCTAAGACATGATGACTTAGTGGATTTTATCAAGGAAGAGATCCAGTAATAATAAATGATAGGGTCACCAAGACTATAGTTGAAACGGGGCCATATAGATAAAGAAAAGGCTCCAATATGGTAAAAGGACTACCATGATCTCGGATGTGAATGGGTCTTCCTCCAAAACGATCTACCCACGCCTATCCTTTCTTCTTGACAATGCATCGTCTATCTTCTGGGCAGCTTCTACAATTTCGATGAATAATAAACACTATAAAAAGAAGTTGGGCTATATCTTATGTTATACCTCCGATGTGAGAACTAGTGATCAAATTTTTATGAAAACAATTTAAGGAAAGATGAGAGAGCCAAAAAATAATTGTGTAAAATCAAAATTCCCATCCCTAACATATCTAAGAAGTATTTATAGATTCCTGGTGCCATGTAACCACTAAGAGGTCATCGTCCATGTGTCAAGTATAACACGTCCATTCATTAGGCGGTTGTCACCCCTATAATGAGTGGTCAACTTCCATTCACTAGATAGTCGGATGATTTTCAATCAATTAAAATGGTGTTCAGTTAATTGGGAGTCATGGTGATCATTCTACCATAACGGTAGTTGATCTACCATAGTTGTAGTCAAGCTAGCATGGGGTAATCGGTCTACCGTAGTTGCGGTCAGATTAATATAGTGGTAGCTAGTCTACTATAACAATAATCAAGCTAGCATAGCAATAGTCGATCTACCATAGTGATAATCAGACTAGCACAAAAGTTGTCGAGCTATCTTAGTAGTAGCCGATCTACCATATTGGTATCGAGTTAGCAAATACTTGGTCTACCATGATGACAGTTAAGCTAGCATAATAATAGTCAATCTGACATAGCCATAGTTCAGCTAGCATAGTGGTAGTCGATCTAACATAGTGGTAGTCAAACCAACATATTGATAGTCAGTCTACCATAGTGGTAATTAGGCTAGTATAAAGGTGATCAGTCTAGTGTAACAGTAGTCTGGCTAGCATAGCAATAATCGGGCTATCATAGTGACATTTAGGCTAGCATAGCTATAATCAAGCTAGTAAAGTGGTAATAAATCTACCATAGTGATAGTTGGCAGTCGATCTACCATAGTGATAGTCAGTGTTGATCTCATAGTCAGGCTAGCATAGCAGTTGTCAGGCAGTTGCCTTTACTTTGTTGGCCATTGCAGTCAATTATTTACATCATGTAGCATCAGGGATTAAAATTAAATTTTTAGTAGATTTTGATAAAAGTTAATAAAATATATAGTTGAAAGGTTGTGATTAGCCAAGAAATATGTGGTTAAAATTGATTGTTGACTTTGACGTAAATTAAAATCTAGATTTTAATTCCTATTAAACAAGGGCTAAATGTGAGAGGGTATGTCTAATTAATTAAATCACGGCCACCTTCGTTAGTGTATAAATAAGGAATATGTATGATTCAAGCCTAATTTTATCAATATCCGTAAAAGAAGGCTGCACCATTCTAGTTATTGGATTGAACCCAAATTATGAAGTGAAGATTTCAGTAAGGATTAATTTTACTCGTCGGAAAGGTAATGGAATTAATTATAGGATTTGGAATATCGTTGAAACAAGGGTTAAATACTTGATAAAAAAACATTGAGGAAAATTCCTATAGAATGTTTCTACGGTAGTATTGATGGAGAAATTAAATGATGCCATATGAGATGCTAGGATAGTAAATTATTGAGAGCTCTTAACCCATTTAGTAATTAAAATTACCTCTCCTAACGAGGGGCATATTTAAAATTACCGAACTTTTAGTTCTTTATTCACTACACCAAAAATAGTCTTTTACAACAGTCAAAAAATACTGCTAAAACCCTTTTGCAACGTTTTGATGTATGTTGCGAACTTTAACGTTTCCATATAGTAGAGGGATACGACAACGTTCAAAGACTGTTGTAAAAAACTTTTTGCAACGTTTCCGTTAAAGTTTTCACAACATTCACTGTGTTGCCATTGATATTTTTGCAACGTTCAATGTTTGTTGCCATTGATGTTTTAGCAACATTCCATGTGTGTTGCCATTGATGTTTTAACAACGTTCATTGCCCATTGGCGTTAATGTTTTAGCAACATTCTTAACCCGTTGCCATTGATGATTTTGTAACATTCTTTGCTGTTGCTATTGATGTTTTCACAACATTCATTGCTTGTTGCTGTTTACTACCTATTTACATGAAAAAAAAAATCATTTATACCCTTATTTTTTGCAACATTTTTGGATCGTTGCTGTATTATCTTTTTTTATTTTTTATTTTTGCATTTTTTCTTTTTGTACAACAATTTCAAATTAACCAACAAAATTATATATATTTTTTGGGATTGCATGAAATCGATAATAACTTCGTAAATCCATACAAAAAAAATTAAACACATCATTTCAATAAATCGAAAAAAATTCTTTACAAAGAGTTCATTATGCAAGTAAAAAAATGACACTATATTGACATCGATCTTAGAAGTGGCAAAGTCAATCCATTGCTCAATGCAGCCCTACCAAAATAAATGGACAAAAAGAAATAGCATAAGAGAATATGAGAAAATTATAGATTCTTTACAAAGAATTCATTATGCAAGTAAAAAAATAAAACTAGATTAACTAAAATCTCAATGCTTACATGGTCAATCAACGAAGTGCCATATAGGGGTTGTCTACCTTCAGTCGTGTAACTGCACAAAGTGATAGAAAAAATGGAAAAAAATGGAAAAAATTGACGAAAAGGAGCAAGAATATACTCTGTGCATTTAAGGTTCAGCACCAAGTCTATATCAGTAAATCGGTCCAAGATTTCCTGCAAGGACCATAGCAGTAACATACATCAAAGTTCTTCTTGAGAATGTTTTTGTGAATATTTTTCCTACTCCTATAACACTAGATGCAGACTAAAAACAAATCGCAGCTCAGCCAAAACTTGGATAACATACTGGGAGTAAATATTGCATTATCTTATATGTCGAAAGCACGAAAGAGGACCGTTCAATTGGACTGAACAGTGTCAGGAGGACTTCAATTCAATATATTCCATCTAAAGTGACATATGAGTCTTGATAAACCATCCAAAAAACACAGAGAAGAGGAAAGTATCACTACGTACAGCCTGAATTCTCATGAAAGGTACTCCATCCAAAATAAAGCCAGTTTTACCCCTTAGTACCCTTCCTCCAGTCTCTTCGACAACAACCCAAAACTTACATCCTCGGGTACTAGTTTCCCTTGGTTCACCGCACTTGCAGTCTATTTTAAGAAATATTAAGAAAATAATCAAGTGACAGGAAGAAATTGCCACCATCAACGCAATATTGTCAACGAATGTCACAAAATAAATAAATAAAAAACTGTAAAGTTGTACAATAGATAGTCTTAATTGAGCAATTACATAGTAAATAAGACCTAAAGCTTTCGATTTCTTCTTTTTCTCGAAGTTTTAATCTGAAAACTCCTTAACTTCCATCTTTTTCTCCAAGTATTTTTTATTTTGAAAAATGAAAAATTCCATTCTTTCAGAAAAGCAAACAGCTTCAAGTTGTCCAATTCATGAATTTCAATTATTGATTCCAAATTCAGAGATAACAAGAACAACATAAAAGCTAAATACACCTCAATTTCTTCCATTTCTTGCTCCTTTTTCCTAGACATGAACTCATGCATGATTCCGTTATACTTCGGACATGCAGGGTGCTTTTTGTTGATGTTTTCTAGGATTAGTCTCCTTTTAAAACGTCCAAGTAAGGACAATTTTGAGTACAACCCTATATCAGCCTGAGATGGTGCTTGTATGTAGCAGGGCTGCAACAACTAGAAACACCAAAACAAACAAATAGTGTTTGATAAGAATCAGATATACACAATGCGTCGTATGAAGAAAAACTAAAAATTGTCACGATAAGAATGTAACGGCAGCAGATCATTACTACATATTGGGGCATGTTTTGTGCATTATAACAGATAACACTGTACAAAATTAAAATTGAAGTTGCTATAATGTACTGTGATATCTGTAAAACCAATTATTTGTGGCCCATGTAATATTAAAGAAATTAATTTAAGGTGATTAATATTACTAAAATCCTATTGGCCCAATTGAGAAATTGTAGTTTTATAATTGTCTACTTTGATGGAAAGTTGAGAGTTTTATGGCACAAAATGAGACTGCCTCTCTCTGCCTATAAATGTGAATGAAATCCATCAATTAATTCATTCAATAAAAGAGAGGAAAAGTGAGAGAACGGTTTCTTTAATTTTAACAGTTTATTATTTTGTAGATCAAAAATTCTCAATTATTGCCATGGATCAAGGTATGTTTTCTTGATCAATTAAAATTCACATGTGAAAATCAAGAATTCTAAAGATCTTGGTATTAGGGTTTAATGTCTTACATGTGGTATCAGAGCTATGATTAAAGAATTCTTGATTTTCCTCTTAAGATTATTGTTTTTCACTTATCGATCCTTAATTATTTCTTATAGATCTCGGTATTAAGGTTCTTGTTGAGATTATTGAAACTAATTATTATTGGAATTCACGGCTGCATAAAATATGTAAATCGTGCGTAGCGTTAAACTGTAAAATTGACTTAATCTATTTGAAGGAATGGAAAAAACCAGAAAGAAATTGCTAGAGTCATTCGTAAAGTCCAATTCTTTATTTGCCTTTGAATATGTGCATTAAAAGTGCCAGAAGAAAAATCTTGACTAAGCTGTAGCATTGTCAAAGGATAAGATTTGATGCTGGATATCCATTCATATATGACAGTGACCATCGACTTTCAGAATCTTTTATGTCCATAAATTAAATGGACTTGATCACACCTTTACAAAGAATACAGAAAAGGTAGAAGCAGTAATGTGTAAAATTGAAATTGCAAAACCAATTAATGCACGAAAAACATTGGCAGAAGTGTACAGTGTTGCAGAAGATAGTTTTGATTGCTTAAGATTTAAATTATGGATTAAGTAAAATTATATCTAGTTTAACAACCTTCATTGCCTTGTTTGTTTATTGTCAATAATGAATATTGTGTGGTAATTATTTTACAAGCAATAATTGGTATAGAAAGTGATTTATTCGAAAGTTTTGATGAGTCATTTATATGAATGTTTTATTTATGTGATTAATGTTCGATTAATGTTGTTTGTTAGTCACCAAAGTGGCCAAACATTATGGTATTTTGAACGCTAAATTACATATTTATTTATCAATTACTCTTGATAGTTTGATGCTTGTAAATGAAAATGACTTCATTATTGGTGTCAAGAGTATATTGAAATTCAAAGATTATAAAATTATTATGGATCGCCCAAAGGTTGATCAGTTAATTTTATTAATCTTGAACATGATCGTGGTTAATTGATTTACTTGGTCGGATGTGTTTTGGATATCCAAAGATATCATACATGTTTGATTAGAGTATGTTTAATTACCAATTAAGTGAAATTTAATTAGCATCATTACATTTATTATGATGGTATAACGTAATATCACCCAAAGGAGAATTACGCTATACATTTATTGTTATCTGAATTTGAAATTAAAACTCAAAGTATTAATGTTAGAGCATTTTATATTTTGCAGTCTCTGTTCCCGTTTCTCTGCATTCGCATGCTTCATCTATACCACTGTTCAATGGGCTAAATTTCTCTGACTGGTGTGAACAAGTTCAGTTCAACTTAGATGTTTTGGACTTGGACTTGGCACTTCAAGTTGAGAAACCTGCCGATCTTACTAATGAGAGCAGTGCTGATGAAAGATCTGTCCATAAAGCTTGGGAAAGGTCTAACAGATTAAACCTAATGTTTATGCGAATGACCTTGGCAAAGAATATCAAGTCTACTATCCCTAAAACTGAGAGCGCCGAGGAATATATGAAGTTTGTGGAAGAACGTTCTCAAACAGCTAACAAATCACTTGATGGCACACTGATGGGTACTTTAACCACCATGAAATTTGATGGTTCTCGTACCATGCATGAGCACGTTACTGAAATGAGTAACATTGCAGCAAGACTTAAGACTCTTGGGATGACTGTGGATGAGAACTTCCTAGTACAGTTTATCATTAACTCTTTGCCTCCCGAGTACGGTCCATTCCATATGAACTATAATACCTTAAAGGACAAATGGAATGTGAATGAATTGCACAGTATGCTCGTGCAAGAGGAGACAAGGCTTAAGAATCAAGGAACTCATTCTATTCATCTTGTAAGTCGTCAAGGAGCTGGAAAGAAATATAAGAAAAGATCTGGAAAGGGCATTAAGCAAGGACCACTAAAGATAAATGAGTCTTCTGCTCAAATCCACAATAAGGAACACAAGAAAAATGTGTGTCATTTATGTCGCAAACCTGGGCACCATAAAAAGGACTGCCTGAAACGTAAGGCATGGTTCGAAAGTAAAGGTAAGATTATTTCTTACGTATGTTTCGAATCTAATTTGGCAGAAGTTCCTTATAATACTTGGTGGATTGATTCTGGATGTACCACTCATGTTACTAATACGATGCAGGGATTCCTTTCAACCCAGACCATAAATCCAAATGAAAAGTTTGTCCTCATGGGAAATCGAGTCAAAGCTCCAGTTGAAGCCATTGGAACCTATCGTTTGATTTTAGATACTGGACATCATTTAGATTTATTTCAAACACTTTATGTACCTTCCATTTCTCGCAATTTAGTTTCTTTATCAAAACTTGATTCCGCTGGATATTTCTGTAATGGTGGAAATGGATGTTTGAATTTGTTTAAGCAAAATCATTTTATTGGTTCCGCTATTCTTTGTGATGGCTTATACAAATTAAAGCTTCATAACCTCTTTGCCGAGACTCTTTTGACCTTGCATCATAATATTGGTACTAAACGTGGTTTACTGAATGAACGATCTGCTAACTTGTGGCATAAATGTTTGGGTCACATATCCAAGGAAAGGATGGAAAGATTAGTAAAGAATGAAATTCTTCATGACTTGGATTTTAGTGATTTTGGAATTTGTGTGGATTGTATTAAGGTTAAACAATCCAAACACACAAAGAAAGGAGCCACAAGAAGCACACAACTTCTTGAGATAATACACACCGATTTATGTTGGCCTTTTGATGTTTCATCATTTGGTGGAGAAAAGTATTTTATCACCTTTATTGATGATTTTTCACGTTATGGCTATGTTTATTTGCTGCATGAAAAGTCTCAAGCTGTAAATGCTTTAGAGATCTTTGTCAATGAAGTTGAACGGCAATTAGACAGAAAGGTGAAAATTATTAGATCTGATAGAGGTGGTGAATATTATGGAAAATATGATGAAAGTGGACAACACCCTGGTCCATTTGCTAAATTTCTTGAAAGCCATGGCATATGTTCTCAATACACTATGCCAGGCACACCACAACAAAATGGTGTGGCTGAAAGGCGTAATCGTACTCTAATAGAAATGGTTAGGTGTATGTTGAGCAATTCATCTTTACCTATTTCCTTGTGGATGTTTGCATTAAAGACTGTCATGTATCTACAAAACAGGGTTCCTAGTAAGGCAGTTCCAAAGACTCCTTTTGAACTGTGGACGGGAAGGAAACCTAGTTTAAGGCACCTGCATGTTTGGGGTTGCCCGGCAGAAGCAAGAATTTATAATCCACATGAAAAGAAGCTGGACTCAAGAACAATCAGTGGATTTTTCATTGGTTATCCAGAAAAATCAAAGGGGTATAGATTTTCTTGTCCTAATCATAGTACTAAAATTGTTGAAACTGGAAATACTAGGTTCATTGAGAATGGTGAAGTTAGTGAGAGTTTGGAACCACGAAATGTGGAAATACAAGAAGTTAGAGTTCAAGTTTCTCTACCCTCAACTTCTTCTAATGTTGTTGTTCCTCAAATTGTTGGACAGCATAACAATTTACCTGAACAACAAATAAATGAACAAACACCCCACAATGAAGTTGCTACTAATGAACCTGCATTAAATGAACCACAAGAAATAGCATTAAGAAGGTCACAAAGACAACGTAGACATGCTATTTTTGATGATTATGTGGTTTACCTACAAGAGTCTGAATTTGACTTGAGAATTATTGATGATGATCCAGTTTCATTTTCACATGCCATTAAGAGCGCCAATTCTGATAAGTGGTTAGATGCTATGAAAGATGAGTTAAAATCTATGGAGCATAATGAAGTCTAGGATCTCGTCGAATTACCAGAATCATGTAAAAGAGTTGGGTGTAAATGGGTCTTTAAGACCAAGCGCGACTCTAATGGTAATATCGAACGATATAAAGCTAGACTAGTTGCCAAAGGTTTTACTCAGAAAAGTGGCATTGATTATAAGGAGACATTTTCGCCAGTCTCCAAGAAAGACTCACTAAGAATTATAATGGCTTTAGTAGCTCATTATGACTTAGAGCTACATCAAATGGATGTGAAAACCGCCTTTCTAAATGGAAATTTAGATGAAGAAGTTTATATGGATCAGCCTGAAGGTTTTTCAGTTAAAGGAAAGGAACACATGGTGTGTAAGTTAAAGAAATCAATATACGGACTTAAACAGTTTTCCCGTCAATGGTATCTTAAGTTCAACGATATCATTATTTCTTTTGGATTTAAGGAAAACATCGTTGACCGATGTATATATCTAAAGGTCAGTGGGAGCAAGTTTATATTTTTGATTCTGTATGTTGATGATATCTTGCTAGCTACTAATGATCTTGGTCTATTACACGAGACTGAGAAATTTCTCTCTAAAAATTTTGAAATGAAAGAAATGGGAGAGGCAACCTATGTGATTGGAATTGAAATATTTCGTGATAGGTCACAAGGATTGTTAGGGTTGTCTCAGAAAGCATATATCAATAAAATTTTAGAGAGATTTAAAATGGAAAATTGTTCAGCGAGTGTCGTTCCAATTTAGAAAGGAGACAAATTTAGTCTCATGCAATGTCCTAAGAACGACTTGGAACGCAAACAAATGTCAGCTATTCCTTATGCATCTCTTGTTGGGAGCCTAATGTATGCTCAGACTTGCACCAGGCCAGACATCAGTTTTGCTGTCGGAATGCTGGGCAGGTATCAAAGTAACCCAGGAATTGATCATTGGAAAGCTGCAAAGAAAGTATTGAGATACTTGCAAGGAACGAAAGACCACATGCTCACTTATAGGAGATCTGATAACTTGGAGGTCATTGGATATTCAGATTCGGACTTTGCTGGATGTATGGATACTAGAAAGTCTACATTTGGCTATTTGTTCCTCTTAGCTGGAGGGGCTATATCATGGAAAAGTGCGAAGCAGTCAGTCATTGCTGCATCCACTATGGAAGCCGAGTTTGTGGCATGCTTTGAGGCCACAGTTCAAGGAAATTGGCTGCGGAACTTTATTTCAAGACTTGGAATTGTCGACAGTATAGCCAAGCCGCTGAAACTTTATTGTGATAATTCTGCAGCAGTCTTCTTTTCAAAGAACGACAAGTACTCTAAAGGTGCTAAACACATGGAATTGAAGTACTTTGCCGTTAAAGAAGAAGTTCAAAAACAAAAGGTGTCAATCGAGCATATTAGCACCAATCTTATGATTGCAGATCCATTAACAAAAGGACTGCCACCAAAGACATTCAATGAACATGTCGAAAGGATGAGCATTATTGAAAATTATCATTAACATTATTATGCAATTTATGATGCTTATGTATTGATATTTTGGACTCATTTATGTATTATTTTTGACAAGATATTATTCCTGTCATAACTGTTGGTACATGTACGTGAATGAATTATGCAAATGCTGACAGGGATAGTCTTTTCAAAGACATTAATGTAATGCAATTATCGAACTTCTCATTATGTGTCATGTTGGGTAGGGACTAATACTGTAGTACATGGAAGGAATTATGCTTATATGATGGTGTGAAACCGCTATGACTCTTATTAGTCTTTACTTAAGGATGATATATTAAGTGACCAATGTATGATGGATTTTAGCTAATGGTATGCGCATTATGTTATATACCACATAACAAAACAATATTACACGGGCCAAGTGGGAGAATGTAAAACCAATTATTTGTGGCCCATGTAATATTAAAGAAATTAATTTAAGGTGATTAATATTACTAAAATCCTATTGGCCTAATTGAGAAATGGTAGTTTTATAATTGTCTACTTTGATGGAAAGTTGAGAGTTTTATGGCACAAAATGAGACTGCCTCTCTCTGCCTATAAATGTGAATGAAATCCATCAATTAATTCATTCAATAAAAGAGAGGAAAAGTGAGAGAACGGTTTCTTTAATTTTAACAGTTTATTATTTTGCAGATCAAAAATTCTCAATTATTGCCATGGATCAAGGTATGTTTTCTTGATCAATTAAAATTCACATGTGAAAATTAAGAATTCTAAAGATCTTGGTATTAGGATTTAATGTCTTACAATATCTAGTATGATGCAATAGACACGTTCTTCACGCATTAAGAAGATAAAAAAGATATCATGACAATCAAGATATGTATGGATCCATTAAATGAGTAAACTGGTGGGAGTTAAAACTACATAATTTACCACTATAGCATGGAGGAAAAATTGGATTTTTAAGGAGAAACCTATTAAAACAATCTATATTATCCTGATCTGTTCCTATCTTTGCCTTACCTTGTCATTCTGAAACCAATAGAAAACATTCTTGCCCTCAATTTGGCCAAAAGCCCTAAGCCTATTTGTAATCTGCTGAATTTGTTGTGCACTTGGAGTCCTTAAACCCTGCATATACAAGCTCTCTAGCATGGTTCAGAAATCATTATTTTCCACTAACACAAGAAAATAAGAACTTCTTCAAATCAAAAGAATAATGTTTTTGAAACTTTGAAACCCAGAAGATATTTAATAAATTACCTATAGAACAGTAGTCACCTTGGGGTTGACAGATATATCAAAATGGGCCAATGAAATAATAACTATTCCCCAGTCAAAATTAGATATTCTTGTTTCTAATTGAATCAATAGTTTCATTTCTCAGTCAAAGCTGAAGCTTACAAAACTTCATCCCTCGCATAGATCTTTTTTCTCAAAAAAGATAAAGAATCCAGCATTTTTCTTATTTGGGAGTGTTTCGCGCGGGTTAGTCGCTAACAATTAAAAAGGGTCAGACGATTGTGTAAATGACAAACCTCTTGAGACAAAGTCCTAAAAAGGGGTGTTCTTTTATTGGCGATGACTTTACAATTGGGAACGAAAAACAACGTGCCTCTAAGGGGCGCAAGCACACGAGTTACTGAAAGAAAAGTGTTTAAGTCTAAAAACTAAGGAAATGAAAATTACATATTCTCTGTTCGAGAGTTTTGGATTCGGTCCTTTGCTTCTACGTCCTTTCTCCCTTTTATACTTCATAGACGATCTCTTTGTGATTAACTACTCTAAAAACTGCTTGATCGTCCTATAACTACCCACTTTCTTCGTAGTGGCCATTTTGTCATGAAACTGCTTTTTAACTGCTGTCATTACCTTTCATCGTTCAACCGCTTTCGATTGAATTCCTGAGTCGTGGAACGTGATATGGCTGCTTTAACAACTGCCTTGATAACCACGACGCGTTATGTCTGTTGATACCTTGGGCGACTTGAAGGTTTGGGCGAGAATAGAATAACAGCTCTGGGCGACCGTATGACACTCTATTCGTTCAGATTCTGGGCGACTTGCAAACTTGGGCGATGACGTTACCGCATTCTTGGGCCCCCTTATTTGGGCCTTCACCTTGATTCGTTCGATTGGACTTCGTTCTTTGGGCTATCTGAT